ATGCCCCGGCAAGGGTTAGGCCTCCGCTGATCGTGCTGATCATGTTGATCTGCCGATTAGCGTTCGGGACTGGCGCCTGTTGGGGCCTGGCTATGTATTGATCCAGTTTGCCTTCCCGAATTAACCGTTCAACGATTTTTCGCAAACTTATGCAGTCCTCGGTATTGTGGCTATTCTGCTGATGGTATCGGCAGAATTTCCCTGTATCCCTGCCGTCCTGCCGATTAGGCTTTCTGAACGATGGCTTCGGGATTATCTCGTTTTCGTTCATCAGTACTGCCTCGTAGGAGGTATTGAGCAGAGTGAACACCTCTGTCCCCTGGTTATGTGTCGGTAGTGGGGCTCGGTAGTTGTCCCTGCCGTACCTGCTCTTGTTTTTCTTGGAATGCCCCCTTTGGGAGCTTCCGGCGTCTTTGCACTTGTGGCTTTCAAGGTGTCCGGCAGTTTGCGCTGCTGGAGCGAACGGCGATGCCTGTGCCGCGGAGGAACGCTGTACGGGTTCGCTCTGCCGAGCCGTGGGCTCGGCCCTTGAGTTGAAGTATTCAGCTTTGGCGTGGATTGCCGCTTGTTTCATGAGTTCATCGTACGTACGCCAATTGCTGCTGTGTACCAGATACCGAAAGTGTGAGGACCGTAGGCCACTCTTGAAGGCGCCGTAGGCCGCTCTGTCATCGGTATCCGGACATCTCGAGTATTCATGGCTGAATCGTGCGGCATACTCACGCAATGGTTCGTTATCTCTCTGCCGAATGGTATACAGGTCGTCGGCGGAGTATAGTCTGTCTGTCTGAATCATGAAGTGGTTCAGGAAGATTTGCTTCAGCTCGTCGAAGGAATCGACCGTCCCCGGTTCCAAACGGTAGAACCAATTTAGAGCTGCTTCCGTGAGTGAGGAAGGGAACAGAAGGCACAGGCCTTCGTCGCTTAGCCCTCGGCACCCTATTGCCGATTGGAAAGAATGAAGGTGCGTCAGTGGATCCTCCACCCCTGTATAAGGGGTTATGCGTAGGGGCTGTACGTCCCTATCCTGCCGTGAGTGCCTTATGCGTTCGGTGAAGGGTCCTGACCGGAGCCTTCCCCAATCCGGCTCCTGAGAGCGAGTTCGATCGTCCTCCATCTTCTGTACCCTTTGAAGGAGGAGGCGGATGACAGGGTCCCTGTCCGGTATCTCCTCCACAGTTTGATGTACCAATCGCTGTTGGGACCTAACAAGATTGACCTCAGAGAACTTCGTCGGGGTTGCCGAACGGTAGGACGATGACCGGTTTGTGGAAGGGACGTACTCTTGGTCAGAGTCTGCCGTGGATTCCAGGACCGGTATCCTCCGTATCGGAGACTTCCTCCCCATGCTTCTCAGTCGGGGATCGTCCAGGCGGGCATTGATCCTGATCGGCGATTCCTGCCGTTCGGACCGCCGTTCGACTTCTCGCTCCAACAGCCTGTGTCGGCAATCGGAATAGACCTTCTTCGGTACATGGGGCTTATTTTTGGGTGCCGGGACCACCAATTGTTTAGACGGCGCAGGCGTTGCCTAGCCATGTCGTGCCGAAGGGACACGACTTGGGCTAAAAGCTCCGCGTTTTCGGTGGCTTGGGTTACAGGGGGATTAGTTGCCGGTGTGTAGGGGGCTGGCGCAGGGCTAACCCCGCTTGGCATGCCGAACGGCATCCCCTCCCGCGGTATGAACGTAGTTTTTTCGGTGGTCCCCATATGTTCGGGATAAAGGGTCGATTTTATCGTTTCCCACAGACGGCCCCAAACTGTTGACGCCAAAAAGTGGTTCTTTGACTTAGAGGGTCAACTTAGTAATTTTATGCCTTCGGTATCC